TCCCTACACTGTTGCTGCCACCACTTCCAAGGAGCAAGGGGGGGGGGGGCAAGGCCAGCTCCAGTGGCCTTGCCCCCCCCTCTGCTCCATCATTGCCACCTGCAGGGAGCAGGGCAGGGGGGGTGAGGCCAGCGCTGCTGGCCTCGCCCTCCCTGTTCCATCCGCACCATTGTCATTGTCTCCAGGGAGTATGGTGCTCTGTTCCCCTGCTCTGTCCCTCATGTCCCCATCCTGGTGGCATGTTGCCACCTGTTTGAACACTTTTTTGCACTCTGATAGGCTGTTTTCAGCCAATCAGAGTGCAAATAAAGCGTTACGGACGGACAGACAAACGGACAGACAGACAGATTAAGGCTTTTATAATATTAGAATATAAAGGATGCCAAAGGAAGGCAGTGCAGTATGGCAACATCTAATAAAGCAATTACCCCAGTACCATTAACGATGACACAAGGTAAATACCATCAAACTACCAAATGCACTAGAAATACGTATCCTGCTAAAGTTTATTGCATTGATCCTGTAAGTTGGTCCATGAGGTAGGGACCTTTCATCTGCATGGATCCTTGTTAGATGCAGGGATAGATCTGCACAGATCATGTTCAGTTATTGGAGACACAGTACAGCTCCTTAAATTTCAGAGGTCAATTCTACTCTTCAACTCACCATATCGTCTTTAGGTCCCATGACTTCTTACACATTATATTTGCATTAAGTAAAATTTAACTGAATGCCATGGAAATTCGCTCTAGAATCTCAAAATCAAGTTTGGGCCTTTTCTTTCTGCATATTACCACCCACTGTAAGTTTTAAATTTAAATTTGGTCACTAACAGAGGTAACTAAGGAAAGAATTTGGCCCTACCTCCTGGAACATAATTAAAAATTCTGTTTATTATGGTAGAATGGATGGGAATCTACCTCACTCTTCTACACCTATGTTACCTCTGCAGTTCTAACTAGAACATAAAGGTAGCCGTCACTTTACTACGCTGAAATGACTATGGGTGCATTATGCAATGTGTGAATAATCAGTGCCATTTTTAAACAAGCAACTTTTAAGGTTAGACATGCACTTAAAATGAAATTTTAACATACTGCTGAAGGAGAAGTTGCACTGTGATCCAATTCAGATGGAATTGCATTTTCTGGATCATATATCCATAAAGTTAATACCTAGCAAGTAAAAAAGAATAACTTATTGTCAAACATATCATATTGTGATCCAATTTCTTTGGAAGGGACATCCATAAAGGCCTGTAGTAATTATATCATATAAATGAGAATCAACTTAGACAACATGAAAATTGGGTTCTGGTCCTGTGCTTCTTACTGAAGCAGAACTCCCATTGTCTTCACCAGGTAAGAGGGATTGAGGAAAGCCACATCCACTCTCTGTAAGATGAGCACTAATAGGAGAAAGAAGTGTGATGGGCTAGCTGGCAGTGACCTAGCCCAGGGGTTTTGAAAGGGCAAAAGATGATTGGAGGACTTGGGATTCCCTTTCCTCACCAATCTGGTAATGATTTGGCCCAGGTGTTTTGAAGGGGTAAAAGATGATTGGAGGACTTGGGATTCCCTTTCCTCACCAATCAGGCCCCAGAGACTCACCCCTCATGTCCCCTGATTGGCCACTTGAGTCACCTGGAGGGGGATAAAAGGGGCAGCACGGCTGACTCAGGGAAGAGACCAGTGAGGGATCATGAGGAAGGAGCTTCAAAGAGCTGAGCCGGTGGGGTGGAAGCAGTTGCCCCAGAAGAGCCTGAAGGAGCAGGACCTGCAGGCAGCAGTTGGACCCTCAGCAGCACGGCATGTGGCTGGCAGGAGAGGCTTCTTGCTGGGCTCCAGGATCCCCTATGAGAGGCTGTATCTAGCAGGAGAGGCTTCCCGCTTCAGCAAGGATCTGAGCAGCGACCTGAGGGGTTCCCAGCTCGGCTTCCAGCTCCTCCAATCAGAGACCAGGCAGCTTGATGTGAGGCCGGGGCTCCAGGAAGTTCAAGACCCCTAGCAATTTGGAGCAGTATCAGCACTGGTGGATGTGTGGCAGTGTTTCTGTCTACCATGGGAAAGATCCAAGTTTAAGTCCCAGCTTTGGTGACTTGGGGTGAGTGAGCTAATAAGGAGAAATTCCTCTTGCAGTGGGAAGGGGCCCATTGTGTCTTATCCCTGTCCAGGTACCTAGGCCCTATATTTCTTTGTCCTTTGACATCTTGTATTTTGTTCCTTTTTATATTTCCCCAACCAGTATTGTTTGCTCTGCTGTTTGTGTTTTATATTTTGTTAACCTTGTCTTTTGCCAATGATTGTAAGTGTCCAACTTTGTTGAATCCTGCCCCCTTGGGGCACTGCAGTGTCCACTATACCCTCTGATTATGCCTGTTATGTTCCCAGTATTGTTCCCTCATTAAAAGGTATATGGTTAAGTCCCCAGTGGTGGTCTGGCTCTGCTCTATAGGGGGAGGAGAGTCCCTATACCTCCCACAGTACTTGTGCACCTGCTTTGATCCCTTCAATTGGAGAGGGGGTACCTTTTGGAGTACCACCTGGGTTACAGAAGCTTGCATAAGAACTTATTCTTGCTAGTTCTTTCATCCTGCCCTGAGCAGCACTTCAGTCTCATTTCTTCCAGTGGAGCTACTGACCCCTTTATTTCTGTTCTAGCATAGGGGAAACATCAATGGGCATATTTCTTAAGAAAGAAATTTTGTATCTTGACAAGGAGAAGGTAGCTGTTGATAAACATATACCTCTGCAATTTGGTTCTATAACTGCCATGGAAACTGGGTTCTTCAGCCTGACGGTTTTTGGGCTTGCCTTCCAGCAACAGAACCATTTCTGATCAATTATGTAATCTATTGCAGTCAGGCAGCAAAGAAATCATTCCCTGCATGCAACTGAACAAATGTCATCCATACTTTCTCTTTCTTTGCCTGTTCTTCAGTTGTTTAGAGTTGTAAAATTTACTCTTGGATAGAGGGGCAGGTTTTGGTGGTTTCTCAGAGGTGGCCACGTAGAACATAATTCATGCTAAAAATAAAGCAGATTTACCCTGTGGAGTCTTATTAAGTTGCACATATTTGGCGGCTTGGATTCCACATCAGAAACTCAACAGTGTTCTGAATTTGGTTTGTAATAAATGGTGTATGTTCTTTTCTCTTTTGTATTTCCCTACTTGAACACTGTCAGGACAAGGCTGGGTGAGGCTCATGCCGTGCAGCCTGATTAACTGGGTCAGCTGAATCCAATGAACTAACCAGGGCCAGCTGAGACCTAGCGTTTAGGAGCACTAAGTGAGGCTTGCTTCTACCTTGAGCTTAATGAACTAATGAGCACTAGCTTCCCTTTAATTGGTTTTATGTCTGCTCTTAAGGAACCCTTCCAGCATCTAAGCCTTGCTGCACAACTTACTGTGTCCAGTCCTTATGTGGCTCTGTCATGGTAACTCCTCCGACACCCTGCTTGGTTAACCCCCTGGTCAGTGTTTGGACTTCGGCTTGACCTTGGCTTGCTCAGTTAACCTTCTGGCTTGGTATTTGGACTTTGGCTTGACCTTGGCTTGCTCCTTGACCTGATTCCTGGTTAACCTTCTGGCTTGGTATTTGGGTTTTGGTTTGACCTTAGTTTTTAACTGATCTGGAAGCTCTAGCTAGTCTTCCACTTCAGTTTTGGACTCTGGGCTTCAGTTCCTGCACCTCATTTTGAAGCTGGGGGTGCCCTCAGTCATTCCTAACCCACCATTCATTCCTAAAACAGACTAGTCCTCACACTCAGCTCTACCCACTATGCATAGTGTGAAGCGTGACAAACAACAATCGCTCTCATAGATGACAAAGGGGATTTTTCTTAAGAAATAATTAAATATATAAATTGTTACAGTTGGTAAAGGTTGTGAAATAATAGTGAATTTTATAGACTGAAGGATCAGTCATAGTACTTTACTATATATTGAAATTTTTAATTTGACTCATTAAATAATCAGTATCCCAAACTAGAAAAAACTCTAGAAAGCAGAGAGAGGGAAAAAAAGGCCTCAATTTAAATCAAATCAGTAGACGTGTGGGGGGGAAAAACAAAACAAAACTGGGGAGACTGGGATTAAGGCATTAGAAAAAAAATCAGAATTAAAAAATAAAATTTACCTGGGTATCATTGTTTGAGGGTGGAACTGAACTAGAGAGAGAGAGAGAGAGAAAGGAAAAGAAATTACATGCTGTTTCTAATTAGTGATAAATATGTACTATTTTGTAAAGCAAAACTGTTTTGACACCCACCTTTTAATACCCTGCTTGCATGTTGTCTGGGAAACACTTCTACTATGTTTTATATATTTGTGCTTGGCTGGTCTACTGCTTAGATACTTCATCATTTATATAAAGGAAGACTTTCTAACTTGCTAATTTTTCTTATTTATAAAAAGAACACTAAAAAAATGACAGCTTCTGGAAGCTGAATGCATAAATGTCTTCTTTTGAGTTCACCTTCTTTAAACCTGCTGTGAAACCATTTTGCTTAATTATTATGACTTCTATTAAAAGATTATTTCAAAAGAAAACAGGATCACAAGAAGAAAACTACTATTCAAGCATGTTGAAGTATATAATTCTAAGAGAAGCAGAAATCTATTTAAACATTATCTCAAATTACTAATGCCTAATGCTTAAAATAAGATTTTTATCTTTCTGATAAAGATGAGGACTTTTAGTTTCAACTGTGCAGAGAATATAGTTCTACTATACCTTCAGAGTGAAATTCTTGATCCATTTGAAGTCCGCAGTAAAATTATCTTTAAAGGGTGGAAGGTGCCCAGATTTTACCCTCCTTTTTTAGAAGCCAAAACCTGACACAGGCCAAAGTTTATAGTAAGGGAATTTTATATTAAAATAATTATAACTCAAATGCTTGCAAAAAAGACAATGTTTTGTCATACTTTGCTGGAAAATTCCCTTTAACTTCAGAATTAAACTGGACAGGCAGCAGATAAGGAATTGGCTGATTGTAAGGATATCTATTTGAGGGGAAAGGAAGAAAGAGGGAAGTAGTTATGTAGAGAGAACTTCTTAGGGCATAGGCTTCAAGAAAGGCAAGCCTGGAAACTGTGAACCAGCAAGTTATTTTTGTGTATTTCTTCTGTATTCAAGGAAACAGAACCCTGTGTACAGTCCTTGTAAATGAGACAGGGTTAAATAAAACAACATACATGATGCACACGATCAATTTTTCCTTCACTGAAATTGTTTTTCCTTCTTTAAAAGAATCTGGGAAGGCCTAAGCACATGGCCAAAAGAAGGGTAACACAGACCATCCTCTCAGGAACACACAAGTGTGGAATCAAACAGACATATATAAACCTCGTGAGCATTTAAAAATGAACTAGCATAAGGAATAAGACAAATCTAGTCAAAACAAAACAATAAAACACTTGTAAGCTTACCCCTGCCCTAGTTTCCTTGCTGTCCTAAGGGACACCCCCTGAAAGTCCAAGGTATAGAATTGCCCCGATTCTGCACACATCATCTCCACATCAGTCAGTGTCCTCCTGCTCTATGAAATGGCCAGTAAGAGAGACTCTTAAAACCTCCAATCCCCTTTGTCAGATGATCAAAATCCCCCATCCCATGATCTGTGACTTAGTCATTTCCTTTGTGAAGTTCTGCATTGGAAAACTGATTTTTCCTGGACAAGAGCTATCTTTTCGTTCATAATATGCTATACCTGAATGAGTGATCATAGTTTCAAGGCTCTTAGCTAGTTCTCTGAGATATGCAGAATCTTACCCTGTTACCTCCTCTGACTTCTAGCTTGATACTAATGTAAGGGTGATGTTGTAGCCATGATGGTCCAGCAATAATGTGACAGGCAAGGATTTCTTAGAGTGTTATATTTTATTGGACCACCTGTGTAGTTGGCATAACATTAGACAAGGTTTTGAATGCAAGACATTCTTCATCAGGCCTCTGATCATAGGGAGCTAGGCATAGCATAATATGGAGACAAATAACAACAAAGAAGGCAAGCAAGCCCTACATTTAAAATGGGGGTTCCAGTCTGACCCAGCTATTAAAAAATATTTGCAAGCTATGCCCAGGCAGATCCCCCAAATTATAAACTGGGGCATTAAGAATAACAGCTTCATTAGAAACGTTAGCTGAATACTGTTACATTATATATCCTCAAATATGCAGTCTATACTGATCTTGCCAGCGTCCATCTCTGACCAGTTTATGATGAGAGAAGTAAGATAACTGAATATCACATTACAGAACTAGGCTAAAAATATGTTCCCTAGTAAGTGACACAAGTATGCATTCAATGTACAGCAGCAAAGCTGTGCTATTACCAGTCATATATAATTATATATGTTGACTTGGGCATAGGAATAGACAATGAAATTAAGAAAGCACCCAACAACACAATTATGGCTTCTGTGAAGATGCATGCAATAAGCAGTTATTGTGACGTGTTTTTTCAGATGGCTGCAACTTCTTTGGTGAGGGGTAATGCAACAGTAGTCTGAACTGCTCCTACAGAAAGGGCAAACCATGCGTTTGGCAACTTTGGGGGCAATTAAATCAGGTGGAAAATCTGTCCCAAGGTTGGTATTGGCAAGAGATACGTTTGGCAACATTCATATAGATTAAATATGCATGAGAACAAAGAAATTATCTACCTGTTCCATGTAGAATTTGTTACCACATACCACAAAAAGCAATTCAGATCTTTGGCAAAAGGGATAAAACGGTCAGAGTACTCCAGTTCCTTAAAAAAGGGGGAAAAGTATACTTTAGTCTTATGTACTGTCTGCATTGTACCATTATTTGTCTATTATCATATGAATACTTGCACATATATAAATAAATTCACAAAAAGTACAAATGAGTTCATTGGAATTACTCACAATTCGAGTTTTATACCCTTGTGAAGTCATTAGAAGTTTGCTCATTATCATTAATTTACTCAGGCAGGGCTGGATTAACGCATAGGCAAACCAAGCACATACCTAGGGCCCTGAGCTGTGGGGGACCCTAGTCCTTTCCTCCACGGCGGCAATGCGAATGACCCCATCTGCCTCCCTTCCCTTCCTTTCTCCTTCCCTCTGCTGGCCTTGCTGTGGCAGCAGTTGCTTCCTATAGCAGCAGCTCCGAGCTCCAAGCCCTGCTTCCTGAGGGCGGCAGCACCGGGGTGGAGAGCCGGGATTTTGACCTGCCTGGGACCCATAATATTATTTCTGTAGGGCCCACTAAAGGGTTAATCTGGCCCTGCAGCCAGGATTTAACTTAAAGTATTATGAGTGCCTTAATGTTTGCATACTATTTAATGTAGTATAACATTACATTTGTCACATGCATTGAGCACCCTGGACTGGCCCCATGTGTGGTATACAGTGTGCAGCATGCTTCAAATAACACATGCACCTGCACCTGCCTCACACAACACATACAGTGTGTCCCTGAACTGGATTCAGCCCTGGCTCTGCACAGTGTATGCAGAGTATGCCAGACCATCTCCAAATGTCATATGCAGGGGTGGATGATAGGGCTCCATGGGCCACGTCTCATACATACCTTATACATGTCCTCATGGTAAAACTGGGGAACTGCAGCCTCAACAATCTTATGGTCTGATGGCAGGGGAATTGGCTCTGTGGTCAGACCCACAGAGTGATAGTCGATGGAACTGAGTCATCATGGTGACCAGTGGAGTCCCCCAGGGCTCAGTACTCGGACCAGTACTCTGTAATATATTTATAAATGATCTGGATTCGGGTGTCATAAGTGGACTGGCTAAGTTTGCAGATGACACCAAATTATAGGGAAGTGTGCCCACTCTAGAGAACAGGCTGGGGATCCAGGCTGACTTGGACAGGCTCGCAAGATGGGTGGATCAAAACCTGATGACATTCAACACGGAGAAATGCAATGTGCTCCACCTTGGGGGAAAAAAAAGCCAAATCATACATATAGGCTTGGCAGCACTACACTCACTAGCACCATGACCAAAAGAGACTTGGGGGTCATGACTGACCACAAGATGAACATGAGCCACCAATGTGATGCCGCAGCTTGCAAAGGAAATAAAACTCTGGCTTGCATCTACGGATGCATCTCAAGCAAGATCCAAGAAGCCATCCTCCTGCTTTATTCAGCCTTGGTGAGGCTGCAGCTGGAGTACTGCATCCAATTCTGGGCTCCACACTTTAGAAAGGATGTGGAGATGCTTGAGAGAGTCCAAAGGACAGCCACGCACATGATTAGAGGTCAAGAGAACAGGCCTTATGAGGAGAGGCGGAGAGGCATGAGACTATTCAGCCTGGAGAAGCAAAGGCTCAGGGGTGACTTGGTGGCAGCCTATAAGTATATAAGGAGGGTGCATCAGGAATGGGGAGAATGTCTGTTCACAAGGGCACCCAAGGGAAGACAAGGTCTAACAGTCGCAAACTGCTGGAAGACTGTTTTAGACTGGACGTAAGGAAAACTTGTTTAACATTTGAGTCTTGAGAGCCTGGAATAGATCCTCCCCCAGATGTAGTGCAAGCATCTATTCTGGATACCTTTAAGAACGTAAAGCAAGCAGCTACTCTGGATACCACGGGGAGAGGGGAGTTCAAGAAGAGTGGTTGCTCCCCAAGGGAACGATCCTCAATGCACAAACTATGTCTATTCCATCTCGGAGGAAAGGCAGCAAGAGGGCACAGCAGCCCCCCTGGCTCTCCAGGGACC